CAAATGTAGGAAGAATCTGATAGAATTAAATTATCAGTAGCACATGTTGCTCTCATTAGTGTATGTCTATGATAAATGCTGTGGTTATCTATAAGACAGCCATTTAAAAAGTTATCACTGGGATTTGTTCATTTTGAAGACATGATTCATTTTACCAAGTAAAACTAAGAGGTTATAGTTTTAGCCAAACTGAGGAGGCATCAGTTTAATTCACATTCAGGTAAGTATGTTTTGCACTCTATAAACAAAATACATAACAGGCATAAAGCTTAATGGTTAATATTACCTCTTATAGTCACTATGCATGACTTCTGTTGGGTTTTTATAGAGATGAGTAATGAATTATTTCAGACCTCTTCCTGCTTTTTGTGTAAGAAAGGGTGAGTTCACAAACATTTATGGAGCTGAATTGGGCAGTGGGAGAAGCAGAAAAGAAGTGTCTCTTTGGCTTAGGAGTAGAAGAAATTTGAAACTCTGCCATTTTGACATCTGGGACATAAGACTAGCTCTGTAAGAAGCAACCGTATTCACAAATATTCTTCCCATCCTACTCACCCATTTTACTGTAAATGTTACTGGGTAAATTCCTTAATGGGCAGTGTACTTTAATTAAGTTATATCAACATTGTGTGTGTGTGTGTGTGTGTGTGTGATAGAGAGACAGAGCGATAGTGATAGACTAACCAATAACAATTCAAAATCTCTGAATGAAAGAAACCCAGGACAGACAAATTTAAGTTGAGAGAAAGAGACAAAATGATCAAGAGAGTCAGGAATGGTTTTCATGGAGAGGTGGGAAGGCAATATCAAGCAGTCAATCTGAAGACACTGAAACACTTGTGGAGGATGGGCAAGCGGAGTTGGTATGGAAGAGAATAACATGTGCCAACTCTATTTCACTGACACCTTTTAGGAAAATGCAATTAAGAAAAGGCTAGCACAGAGGCCATGAAGAGCTATGGAGCTGTAGCCTGACCATGGAGGCAGGCAATAGCTGCAAAGCACATCAAGGGAAGATTTCAATAATGGGAACAAAGGGATAGAAATTAGCATTATTTAGTGTAATATATATATATATATATATATAATTTTATACATTTTCCTCTGTACCTATATATAAAACATATTGATATATTATATCCTCATGATATTGCTACAAGGCAGGTCTTATCAACCTTATGTTGCAATTGTAAAGACCAGACTTGGAAAGTTCAATAACTTGCTCAATAGTGATCATACACGAAGCAAGGACAGATGGACTGACATCTACATTTGTTGATAGCTCTCCTCATTTTTCATATGAGACAACAGCAGGGAAGACAGAAGAATGCCAGGTGGAAATCATTCTATCTTTGGATGCAGAAGTAAGACAGGTATCTGAAAAGAAAAAAAAAACCCATTGCCCTCGAGTTGATTCCAACTCATAGCAACCTTATAGGACAGAGTAGAACTGCCCCATAAGGTTTCCAAGGAGTGGTTGGTGGATTTGAGCTGCCAACGTTTTGGTTAGCAGCCTGAAATCTTAGCCCTGCACCACCAGGGCTCCCAGACAGGTATAGAATTGTTCATTTTTCCAAGATTTTAAATTTCTGAATGGACAAGAACCCAATTCTCCCTTTAGTTTCAACTGAAGGAAACAAGAGTAGGAATTACACCAAATATATTCCTTTGAGTGTCCCAAAAGGACACTCCCCCAACACACATATTAATTTTAAATATATATTATTGCTCAAAATGTACTTGTCGAATAATTGGATATATCTACTTGGCTATAGTAAAAGACATACTTAGGTATAGGTTACATGTGGCATGATTTTGTGGATATTGGTAAAACACCCTTCCAAAGAAAATCCTGCCCCATTCTCCTTCCTAGGGCTTAAAATTCCATAAAGATACATGCGTCATGTATCTTCTAGTAGAATTCAAATACTCTTGAAATTGTATGTATAGTGATTTATATCTTATTGTAAATGAATTTTGCCACAATTTTTTTTTCCAGGAAACTGCTTTCCATCTCTGGGAAGGAGCATTTGACAGTGTAGCAGGGGTCTTAATGAGAGAGGACTGTGTGGAGGAAAATAAAAGAGGTGAGGATGATAAAGACTTTGTCATTCTGTTCAGGGCATATCCTGTTACATCACATCACAATAGGATATTGTGGGGGAAATGGCTTCTAACTGATGACATTGTATTTAGAAGGCCAACTAGGTTGAAATTTTCCAAGCAGTCAGTTACATGGAAGTGCAAATGGTGATGGGACCCTGAAGGAGCAGTGATTACATCTGCTGCCTAGACTGGTATTTCACCTTCATACCTAATGTTGCCTCTTTATCTTGCATAAATAATGTGATTTCTTGTCCTGCCACTCTCTGCATAAGATTACTTATACCAAAGAGGCAAAAAAGCAATTCTCTATCTAATCCGTTTTGTAAGTTTGACAGTGACATCAAAGAGCAGGAAGCTGTCTGTGAGTAATGACACTGCTCGTTTGTTCAAATGTCAAACCTAAACCTCATCAACTTTCAGGGAATATGTCAGTAAAGAACGGGATTCAGTTCAGCCAGAGAGGATTTCAGTGTTATTCAGTCTTGAGCTAAATAGCTGTCAGTATGTTTAGAGTACAGTACTTTGAGTGAATCTTTCTTTTTAAGCTGAGTGAAATTGGCCATTTCAGCACTTCGGGCTGTGGACAGTGCTCTTTTCCTTGAAATTATGAAACAAGTAGCCTTACTGTAGAAGTGTTTACTTCTTGAGACTAAAACTCCCCAGGCTAGCAGATATGTACCTCTGGACAATACGATTAGGATATGAAGACTATGCATCACAGGTCTGTGCAAACCAACATGAAGTAGCTGCAAAGAGGAACACATTTTGTCACAGAAGTAAAGCTTGAAATAAAATTAGGGAAGGGAAATAGTTACAGTTTGTAACTATTCCTGAAAAAAAAAAAAAAAGAAAGAGTTATATTTCTACTGCAATGCAATTATGTTCTTCCCTGGATAGGTTTATAGATGGAGAGAATGGCAGTGCCATTAACCCCTCATGTAATTTATTGACAGTGGGCATATATGCAGGGGACAAGAGGAAGCACATTAAATAGGTATGCAGGCAACCAAGACCAGAGAATTCGTTCTAGCTCTAGAATTCCTGGATGTGAGGTCAAAATAAATGGATTTGAATCTGAATCATGTCCCTTAACAAGTCATTTTCTCTGTCTTGTTTCTTCTGTAAAATGTGTATTATTGTGAATTTTAAGTGAGAGAGTGTATGTAAAAGGGTCTGGGACAGAGTAGGTATTAAATAGATGTTCAGTTTTGATTATTTACTTACTAAGTTTTTGCATAATGCAGTAAAATGTTGCTACATGAGTGGCCATGTGTCTTAATAGTAGTAACCCTAAAGATGGATGGCAAGAAGAAGGGAAGCAAGAAAAAATTCATTATCATTTACAGCCTTATAACCTAAGGCCCTAAGTATATGTATTTCCACTGTCATTCACTTTGCCTGCCTCCCAAAAAGATTCTCTCCCTGATGTTTACCTTTAAAAAAATCAATAAAAGGAAAATATTTAGTGTGAAAATAATACAGAAAGAGACAAGTAAAGTTCCCAGAGATTTCTTACCTCTCTCATCAACTAATACTCCACTAACTCTCTAAAGAATTCCTCACACACAGTCAGCTACTCTACCTGCTGAATTGGTGGGAGACTACTTTGGATGCCTTCTACCCAGACTTGGTCACTTGAGGAGGGAAGGTAAAATCAGGCTAGTGCTGAAAGCCTGTTAAGTTCTTTATCATCCTCCATTGCAGCTACAAATCCTTTGTTTTTGACTTCAAAGCCCCCCGGCCTATCTCACCTCACTCACCTTCCCCCACTTTTATAAGTGAAAATCAAGAGCATCTTCTCTTAGCCTCCCTCATCCCCTGTCATTTTCAACAGAGACTTCCTCCACACTGCCCTCTGCGTTCCAAACGCCTTCCACTCTCCATTCAGGTACACGCTCCTTCTATTCACAATTCATTTAAAGTCTTCCCTCCCTTCCAAAGCTCTCTTTAAGTGGATTCCTCTCCTGCTCTAATAACCACCCTCACCACAGCCATCATATCACCAAAGCATCCTGCCCCCGACCCTCAGAAATTGTGTGAGGAGGGGAGGGAGCGAGGAAATCTCGGTTTGTGTACAAATCTAGACAGGGAAAAATAGACAGCTCAGCATTAAGCGTGGTCTCATCTTAGGGGGAAAATTCAGGTAATGAAACTATTTTCCGAACCCGGCACCTATCATGCTCTGAAAAAAAATATTGACTGAACGTGTGAATGAATGAATGAGTGAATGGATCGAGGCATGAATGATTGCGATCTCTTTGCTACTTTTCTCAGATGCCCCTCCTTCTTCTTGCTGCCGGCAGGGTTTCTGTTTAATTCACCTTCAGTGCGTAAAATCCACATCCTTGCTTTGCCTCTGTCTCCACCCCCTGCCCCTTCATTACCACCTCTTGATGGGAACCTAAACCTCCTTGCCAAAGGACACTCTACCTAGATCACAAATCCTTTGTGAATCCAACAGCCAAAGAGAGCTTGCTTCCCCCGCCCCCCTCTCCCCGCGCCGGGCTCCGCTTTGCATCCTACAAGCCGTACCTCTCCCCAAACCTCCTGAAATACCTAGCGATGTTACAAAAAAACAAGACTAATGCCTCCACACTCAACAAATTCCACCTGGATACCCCCGTCGTTGCCCTTCTCCAGGCGCTTGTGACCTAGGTGCACGCAAAAGAAAAGCGGTTTCCCTCTTATTCCTGCAGGAAAAAGAATAACAATTCCAGAGCTCGACTCTGGTTCCTAAAATCAGAAAACTTTTTTTTTTTTAAATAGAAAACCCCACCCCGAGAGCAGCGACCTCTTTGTTTACATCCCAGGGGTAGGGAGGGGGCTTCAGCCTTTGCGCCTGGGGCAGAGGGGAGGTGACAACCCTTTGGAAGAGTGCCCAGGACGAGACTCACCCAGGACGTTCCCTATGAGAGCCACTACGAACACGATGATGTACCCGGCGATCAGGACCCACTCATATTCTTTCGGGTGTAGGTATTCCCTCCACAGGTACCGCAGGAATTCCTCGTCGTCATAGTCAGTGGGATTTAAAAAAGGCTCTTGAGTTTCATTCAGCTCCGACGCAGATGACCAGTTGCGGCAAGGGGGGGATTCCTCCAATTTGGTGCCGGACATCACGGGCTCGGGTCCGGTTCCGCTCAGTGCTGCAAGCTCCTCTTCCCCTGCCCCATGAGCACTGGTGATTTGCGATGGGAAAGGCTGCGAGGAGAGGCGAGAAGGAGCTCCAGAGCAGAAAATGACGTGAAAAGTTATTGAGCCAATGCCTCCGGAGTCTTATGCTGGGCAACTTCTGCGGCGGCTTTGCTGTCTTTGCAAGGCGATTTTGCACCGGGAAGACAGGAGGCTGAGGAATTCGGGACCGGGCCCTGGAGGCTGCAGCAATGACACCGGGAGGAGAAAGCTACCTCGGATTCAACTCAAGCTCAATTACTCCTCATTCCAGCACTGAGTACGAAGCAGCCCACAGCCTCCTCCCGCGCTGAGGGAGAACTGAAGCAGAAGGGAAAGGGGGAAAAGAGAGAGAGAGAGAGGAAAGAAGAAAGTGAAGAAAATTATTTTAACCTGTTTCTCTGTGGGTTCAGTAGCCCTGTTTTCTCCTTCTTTCCCCCATTTCTCACGTGCAGTTTCTGTTAACCATACACAGACATGTGTAGGTCTGGAGATACGACCAGCAAGTCAAACACATGGTTAATATAGGATTTGTTGGTGCATTTGTCATTGTAATGCAAATATAAAAGTAATGCTTTCCTCAAGCAGAACAGATGCAAAAGTCATTTCAGTTGGCTTTGCTAACTTAGCGCTAGCTGAATTTTTAAGGCACCCTCACCCCTCCAAACTGGGGAATGAGACCACTTTTGAATTAAAGAATACATTTAGCTGGGATTCGTATTTGCAACAGCAAGTGCCATATGAAATACAAGAGCAAATCCTTGAAGGACACTAAGGGTCATAAGGAGCCCTGGTGGCATAATGGGTAAGTGCTCATCTGTTAACTAAAAGGTCAGTAGTCAGGTTGCTATGAGTCAGAATCGGATGACACACAACGACAATGGTGCTAAGTGTGATCATAGGTAGTCTTGTCAAGCAAAGAAGAGCAACCACATTTCAAACCACATTAAACAGGTTCTCAGTAGGATGCAGTAGTTTAAGCGGAAGTTCTCTCTCTGGTGAATACCACACCTCACTGATCTTTTTTTATCATTCACTTAGGTATCTCACAACCGACGTTGCTGCTGCTCTCTCATGAATTGGTTCTGTCTCTCCAAATAAATATTTTGGGAATTATCAAAGTGCAAATTCATGAGTCTTTCAATCTTAATAACCATGCCAAGACTATTGCAAAATATTACAATCTTGAACTTGGGAAGGGCCTTGGAATCCTCTAACCTGAACTTTGGTTTAATAGTAGAAGTCTCTGATAACATTGCTGGCATGTCCTGATCCAGCTCGGATGTAACTGCCACAACTCATTACCCAAACCATCATGGGACTACTCTAATGGTTAGAAAATTGTTCCTTACATTAAACCAGAGTCTTGAACCAAGATTTGCCTTTCTGAGTCTTCTGCCTCCAATTGCTAGTTTGCATCTTTGCACTACACAGAAAAAATCTTCCTTCTGACAGTCCTTCTCATATTTAAATTAAGCATCACAGTCCTCTCTTTCTTGCCTCCATGTTCCCTTTTTCCCAATTTTGTCTGTTGTTTTTCATATACCATTACTTCCAGAACTTATATTCACTTAATCTTCCTTTAAGCAAAAACCAAACCCATTGCCATAGAGTTGATTCCAACTCACAGCCACCCTATAGGACAGAGCAGAACTGCCCCATAGCGTTTTCAAGGAGCAGCTGGTGGATTCGAACTGCTGACCTTTTGGTCAGCAGCTGAACACTTAACCATTATGCCACCAGGGCTCCAAATCTTCCTTTAGACCGTTGTAAATAGCTTGCATAATATTCCACTAAAAGGAAACATAATCTGGTTTGGGTCTTGCCAGTACAAAATTCAACACTATTTATTCTTTGAATGCAACTAAAGTTTGCATCTAATTGTTTTTTTAAATAGTCACACACTGGTGGCTCATATTGAGGTTTCAGTCAACTGAACCTTACCCTCTATCCCCAATCACACTTGTTTTGGTCTTTACAGTTTACAAAATACTTCTACGTGCTTTATTTTAAAACCCCTGGGGATTGACTAGTATTAGTCTCATTTTATAGATGAGAAAACTGTGCCTGGAGGAATAAAGTGACATACCAAAGGTCAAGCGATTGTTATGTATGCCTTCGAGTTGATCCTAACTCACAGAGACGCCATGTGTTACAGAGTAGAACTGCCTCATAGGGTTTTCTTGACTGAATCTTTCTCCCACAGAGCTGCTGGGTGGGTTCAAACCACCAACCTTTTGGTTAGCAGCTGATTGCTTAACCACTGGGCCACCAGGGTACCTTGGTCAAGTGATTAACCATGGCAAAACCATCCAGCTGTTTTGATCTCAGCCCAGTGTTTCTAGTATTCTACAGATGTCGTATTTTACAAGAAATACTGTTGTTGCATTTTTCCAATTTACACTGTTAAATTTCTCCTTTTTAAGACAAGGGCATGACTGAGCATTTCATTTTTTCAACAATGATTTAACTGAGTGCTCCTATTCACTCTTGGCCGTGTGAATTAAACAGGTTGCTGCTTTCGTGGATTTTACATTTTAGTGAGGATAGAGAGGAAACAAATCAACAAATAAATACATAAGAAAATCATCTGGAAGGTAGAAGTTCTAGGATGAAAACCAAACAGGGTGAAGTGATGGTGAGTGGAGAGTTCCAAAGGCCACATTGAATTAGGTGGTCAGAGAAGGCTTCTGGGAAGGGGTAGCATTTAAGCAGGAGACCTGAGTGATATATGCGTATATTAATTTAATTTTGTTAATTTGAGATTTAAATAGATCTTCCTAAATATTCGTTGGAAATGAGGATGGGCAAGACTTCGTCTACCATACTTTGGACATGTTATCAGGAAGGTTCAATCCCTGGAGAAGGACATCATGCCTGGTAGAGTAGAAGGTCAGTGAAAAAGAGGAAGACCCTCAACAAGATGGAGTGATACAGTGGCTGCAGCAATGGACTCAAACCTACTTGCTATTGTGAGAGTGGTGTTGTTGCTAGGTGCCATCCAGTCTGTTCTGACTCATAGTAACCCTATGTACGACAGAACCAAACACTGCCTGGTCCTGAGCTATCCTCAGAATTGTTGTTATGCTTGTTACGCTATGGTAACAATTGTTACAAAAGCCTAGATTTATCTTGATCCTACGAGTATTCCATTTCTTTCTATCCATGATTTATCAGGTGCTTTATTTTAAATACGTGATACTCTACTGGCATGCAAAAACCCCACTGAAATCATCAAATCATTATTTGTTTTCTCTTTTGCAAACACAGAGAGATGAAAAATACTGCTGCAACTTATTTTTTATTGAATCTCCTTTCTTACATCTTTTGATACCTTTTAGGATTTTGAAAGGAAATTTTAATTCTTACCTATTATTACTCTCTTAAATTCAAAAGCTTTACGCTGGATGGAGGGAAAAGGAGTCAATCTAGTATTATAAGGCAGAAAAGTCAAAATTTGCCTAATGACAACTTTTTAAGGCTATTATAAAGATTAAATGAATTGACATTTCTAAAATGCTTTGAACAGTCCTGATACATAGAAAGTTATCTGAAAATATTCGTTAAATAAGATTTAAAAATATATGTTCTCCTGGTAGGAATATTTTGTGCTATACAGAACAATGATGCTTTCTAAATATTTATGCATATTTTTAAAAAGAAACATAACTCACAATATTTTGAACATTTCTGTTTAGCTACCCAGCTTAATTTTTTCTGTCACTTTTATTTTTGCTCTCCTGGTAATTTAAATATGTTTAAAAAAATGGAGGAGTAGGGAGAAAATAAATCTCAAAGCCAGATTTTGTTCCTCTTGGTGGTTGCAGTAAGTTGTTCAGAAATCTCTGGTTGAGCTGTCCCAGATTTTATATTCTTATTTTATTTCTGTCCCTGATGAGAGACCATCCTTTTTGCAGACCTATACTAATATTCTGAATCCATTTCAATAACTATTTACTGAGCATCTACTATGTGCCCAGGAGTTTAGCTGGGACCTGGGAACATAAAGATCAATCATGCATAGTCCAGCCTCAATGATCTCACATCTTTTGATGAATTAGGAGTATTAAGCTTACAGAACGACTCTGTGGGTTTCTAGAGTAGAAGGATGTACAAAGTGTCATGAGAGCATGAAAAAACACCTAATTCAGCCGAAGAAAACCAGAATGGTTGGCTCCCCCGCAGAGAAGGTCACTATTGAGCTGACCCCTGAAGGAGAAGAAGGAGATGGCCAAGCGGTTAAAGAAGAGGAGACATTCCAGGCAGAGGGAACAGCACATCATGAAGACTTGGAAGCAGGAGAAAACGTGGAGCACGTGGGCAAAAGAAGTTCAGGGTTTTAAAACAATCTTCGCAGTAATGCTGAGAATGCATGAGGGCATGTTGAGACCGATGACAAGGGAACTAGGCAGGAGATTCATTTAATGATTCTGTTATCAGAGGAAGGTTGTGGATGTGGAGATTGATTGGGCTAGGGTATTATTAAAAAATTTAGGAGGTTGAATAAACATCATGGGAATGCAGGCATCTTGTTTTATTCCGGGAGCCTTGGTGGTTAAGCACTTGACTGCTAACCGAAAGGTGGGCAGTTTGAATCCAGCAGCTGCTCAGTTGTAGGAAGATGTGGCAGTCTGCTTTTATAAAGATTACAGACTTGGAAACCCTACAGGGCAGTTCTACCCTGTCCTATAGGGTTGGTATGAGTCAGAATCAACTTGATGGCAACGGGTTTGGTTTTAGGTTTTTGTTTTATTCAATGTAGACTGACTGCTTGGAAATGTTATATTTGAAGTTTATTTCTGTGTTTCTCTACATATTTAGAAGAAAAAATTGAAGGAAGGGAACAGAGAGGTGTCCCGCTGTTGACTTTCTGGTATTTGAAACTAAGATGTTTTTCTTCTTTCTTTTCTATCAAAATGAAAAGAAAATCAAGTCTGAGCACTCTCCGTAATGACTATACTGAGCTTAAATATTCCCGAAATAAGTGTATTAGTTTTGCAGGAAGTTATCTGATTTCTCTTGGCTCCAAATACCACATTTCCTTACAACAGGGCCTTCCGTTAAATCCTACTGGAGAAGTCCCTGAATCACAGAGGGCCTAGAAATTAATTCTTAAGAGAAAAAGTGAGAAAGGGTCTCCTAATAACAAGCATTACTATTAGGAACTAACTCTTGAGCGGGCTGCTGAGAATAAAAGGACCTCATGCCCTAAAATACTCAGCCCCTAACAAGGAAAGCCATTTGTCTCAAAATACCACAAAGCATTTCTGTTTCTCTGTCAGTTCTCCCTCCCATCCTTCTTCCTACCTCTCTCCCTCTTTTAATGAT